AAGTGCCCCTTTCTAAATATGTCCCGGCAAAGTGCTGAGTCAGGGGGAGCTGAGCACTCACCGCCGAGGGCGAGTTGGCACCAGCTGAAACATATTTGTGAAACCTTGGGAGGGGGCGTGAGATGACGAGAGGAGTGCCCGCATGTCAAACGTGCGGGTTCCGATCCTGGCTCTTTCTTCCTGCCTTCCCTCCCTATCCCAGCGTGTCTCGAGTTCCTGCTGGGTGAGGGTCAGGAACCAGGCAAAGGACAGTCCTCACTGCCATCTGGCCCATGCCGACTACCCCGCGACCATGTAGGAGAGGAGAGGTGCCCCACAGGGCTGTGAGGTTCTAAGTCTGGACCTGAGTGGAAAGCCTCCTCTTTCTAGCTTGGAGCAACTGGCGGGTTTTAACTGCAGCCCAGTGAGTGATCCACTATGCCATAATGACCCTGTTACCCACGGAGGAACCAGAGACACACCATCCAGTCACCATGTGACCCCGGGCCAGTCGCCGCCACTAAAATGAGGAGCTGGACAGTGACCCTGGAGGACTTTCAGGCTCGAAAGTTCATTCTCAGACCCTACTCACCCTCCTTGAAGGAACAGAAGGAAGAATTGTTAAGGGTCAGCAGTTCAAAACCCCAAGCCACTCCTCGGGAGAAAGATGGGGCTTTCTCTTCCTGTAAACCAGCGGTTCTCGAGCTGTGGGTCTCAACCCCTTTGGGGGGTGTCAAGCAACCCTTTCACAGGGGTCGCCTAAGACCACTGGAAAACACATTACGGTTTACATGACGATTCATAACAGTAGCAAAATGACAGTGATGAAGTAGCAACAAAATAATTTTATGGTTGGTGGGGGGCGGGTCACCACCATATGAGGAACTGTCTGAAAGGGTCGTGGGCATGAGGAAGGGTGAGTGTCACCGTGCCAACGGTTAGTCTCAGAAAACCCGCGGCGAGTTCTACCCTATCTGATAGGGTTGCTACGAGTCAGCGTCAACCAAATGGCAGTGGATTGGGCGTGATTGGAGAACGGGAAGAGTCCCTGAATGGGGCACCTCAGCTGCTGATCAGAAGGTTGTAGGTTTGAGTCCACTTGAAGGGGCTTCAGTAAAAAGGTCTGGGGACCTCCTTCTTTCACAAAGCCCCACCGAGCAGAGTTCTACACTGACCCACGGGGGCTGAGAATGGAAGGGTCCTGGGTCCGTCAGGGGGAGGAGGGGTGACCGTGCATGTGGAAGTGTGCCAGCAGTCGAAATTCATCAGGAAAGACCAAACAAAAGCCTGAGGCCGCAGCTTTAGTTTTTATAAGGTTCTGTGTGGGCTATTTCCTTCCATCTCTGAAAGTGCTCCCGGGTTAAAGGCTGGGCCCAGTGGCTGATGCAAATGAGCTGTATTCTGAGGCTCCTACCTCATTGTCCCCTGCACAATTGCTTTCAGAATTCTAGCCATTCTTCTTCCCTACAGGGAATTCAATGACTGGGTAGAAAGCTATGTGCCTTATCACTTCTGGGAGTACAGCCGGAGACCCGGAGGTCACCCTGAGCCACAGAACCCAGTCCCCAGGCGGGAAGCTCACATTCCAGGCCTTGTAAAGGCCACAGTAACTTGTTCTGAGCTCTGGGGGCAGGTGGCAGAAAGAATCTGCAGAGCACGCCGCAGGGTCAATGACACCAGCCCGTAGAATGTGGCCCTGAGACCGGGACTCAAATCTCTGGCTACAGCCCGTCCACCAGGGCCCAGGGCCCAGGCCTCTTCGAGCAGCTGCCCCTCTGCCATCTTCTTGTCCAGTGAGCAGCCAAGTAAGCAGGTGAGTGGCATATCCATAGTTATCTACCACGGGCTTCATTCAGAATCTCGTCTGCAATCCTCCAGTGGACACTGATCACTGGACTGGGCACGCTCTGCATGACACATGGTAAGTGCTCAGGAAAATACTCACCAAAAGAATAAATGAATGCACAGCAACCCCCATCAGTAGCGACTGGCCCTGGGACTACTTGCCAAATGAGGAAACTGAGGCTCCCACAGGATAAGCTGTCTTGCCGATACTTGTGCCGTTAGTAGGGACAACCTAGGGTATCCCAAAGCCACTAAGCTTACCTCTAAACCAGTGGTTCTCAACCTGTGGGTCGTGACCCCTTTGGGGGTCAAACGACCCTTTCACAGGGGCCGGCTAAGACCATAGGAAAACATATTTCTAATGATCTTAGGAACCAAGACACCACTCAATCCATCTCCAGGCAGTTCTTCCCACATGCAGATACACCTACATACAAGTACCCAGCGTGAAGACTGTTACCCATGCTACACCATGATTCAAGACAAAATTTCATTTATTTGTCATTAGTAATAAATATTTCACAATCTATAATGACATATTATTTTTGTGATTCATCACTATGTGAGGTAGTTAGTTTATTGTGCCAACCTGGCCAATAAACACATGTGGGGTTAATTGAAGGGTGAAGAGATAAATGGCTCGGTGAGCCTTGCCTTTCTCATTGCCGGTCTCTTGCTTTCTAATGGTTGGACCAGGGTGCAGCTGCCTTAGCCAGTTCCCTACTTTAGCTGGCAAGGTTCACTTCCTGCAAGACATCCCTGAGGAGAAGCCACATGGACCTACCCTGATGCAGCCCTGGGTGCTGGAGCACCCGTGTGGAGCCCCTGCCAGAGCTGAGATGCTTGCACGTTCACTGACTCGGCTTTCCTCCTGCAGTCGGCATCATTGTGTCTGTTTTGTGAGATGGAGGAGGACTTTGTGGATTAGTGTTGGACATACAAGTTAATGGGTTAATGTTGGAGTTGTGGGCTTGGGCAGCACGGAGTTGGGATGCTTTCTTGATGCACATTTAACCTTTATATAAAACCCTCTCTTAAAAAAAATCTCTCTTATACAGGAGTTTCTGTGGATTTGTTTCTTTAAAGTACCTAGACTAACACACTATGCTTTAATTACATTCAATTTGTAACAATGAAAATACATCCTGCCTATCAGATATTTACATGATGATTCCTAACAGTAGCAAAATGACAGTGATGAAGTAGCAACAAAATAAGTTGATGGTTGGGGGTCACCACCACATGAGGAACTGTATGAAAGGGTCACGGCATGAGGAAGGCTGAGAACCGCTGCTCTAAATCCTGTGCACTGTACTGAAAGGACCACTGGTGATTAGACACTGGGTTGCTGACTGCAAGATCAGTGGCTCAAACCCCCCAAATGCTCCACGAGAGAAGGAGACACTGTCCGCTTCTGCAGTGAGAACCCCTACAGGGTTGTGTGTGTTGGAAATCCACACAATGGCCGTGGGTTTGGTTCGGCCTGGTTTGGGCAGCGCAAAGGAGCCCCTGGGTGGTGCAGACAGTTAACGGGTTTAGCTGCTAACCCAAAGGTCGAAGGTTCAAGTCCATCAGAGACTGACTTCCCTAAATGCAACCACTGAAAACCCTACAGGGCACAGTTGTTCTCCTGGGATGCAAAACCCTACGGAGCACAGTTCTGCTCCGAGTCCACGAGTGGTAGCCAACTTCATGGCAACTGGGGGTTTTGCGGGTGGTGGTACATAAAAAACACCCTCAAAACCAGTCTGTGGGTGTGAGTGGCCCCCACTGATCAGATGAGGACGTGGGGCCAACTGGCCTGACCCGTCTTACAGACGGGTCCTTGAGATGTGCCTTCCAGAGAGGGGTGTCTACAAAGGAGGATGGGGTCCCGTCGGCCCCGCCACGGTCAGCAAAGGGAATGCAGGCACTAAAGCAACCCCATCCTCCCAAGCACGGAAATAGTCTCACCCCGAGATGCCCTCCCCCAGCCTCAGTGACAGCAACTGGAACCAGGAAGATTCCAGGTGGTTCCCACACAGCCCTGTGACCAAGGATGAGCTCCTGACATCACCGGCGGCCAGTTGGAGGGCTCCCCCTGGTGCTGGGCATACAAGGCCCGGTCCACAATGAAGCCCATGTGGTGAGCACCGTTTATGTTGAAACCGTATTTGCTTATTTTGCAGACGTGATCAAAAGGATGTTCGGAGTGCTCTGTGGGAGACACTTGAACCCGGTCAGCCAAGACAGCAGTCCCCGGCACCAGCGGCTGCCAGCAATAATACTCTCTGTCAGAGGACGTGGTCAGCCTTTCCCCACCATCACCTCCTCGGGGAGACTCCCAGTTCTGAGGTTCCCAGGTTGGGGTTTTGGAAGAGGGAAATAGAGACAGCGGGGAGGTGGGGGAGAGGCATACATCACCAGATGCAGAGTCCGAGCTCTGAAACAAGGGTCGTCTTGCTAGCAAATCAAGCTCAGGGGTTTGCACATGGGCTCATGAATCACCCAGACATGGGTTCACATCCCAACTCCCCTGCTTATCACTAGTGTGACCTCAGGCAGGCTACTTAACGTCTCTGGGCCTCAGCTTCCCGATCTCTGAAATGATCCGAACGGTGGGGGTGCTGGGTGCCGCAGAGCCGACTCCGACTCACAGCCATGGTACGACTGACAGAGCAAACTGTCGCCCAGTTCTGCGCCATCTCCAACCACGATCTGGGGCATGTTTGAGCCCTCTGCTGTGGCAACTGGGTCAACCACCTCATGGAGGGTCCCCTCTTGCTCGTGACGCTCTACTGTTCTAGACAGCGTTCCTGCCTCAGGATTTCACCAAAGCACAGAAGCAAGATCACAGTACCTCTCTCAAGCAAAGCAGAAAAGCTTGCAAAGATGTTAGCTGCTCCATGCACTTTGATGGTGCATTTTGATTTTAGACTGTGAGCATCCTGAAGGCAGGGACTAGTACCCCTGGCCTCTCCTCAGAAGAGTTGGAGCTCAGTGTTAGAGATGGTCACGTCTCGCTGAGTGTAATGGATGGACCTGGACTGCGGGCTCCGACCAAGTGACTCTCCCCATCCTCCTGCCAGGGAAGGACGTGGCCACCCTCTTGGCAGCTGCAGCCTGGAGCGGGTTAAATGCTCACTGGGCTGCAATCCCCAGGCCTTGCATCTCAATCTGCCAGGCCAGAGCTTTACCTTAATATTGCAGTTGTCATCCAGCAGTATGTTTTCCAGCTTCAGGTCCCGGTGGACCACACCATTCTGAAATGAGAAGACAGGGAGGGAATGAGATGCGCACAGTGGGGATGAGAAAGAGGAAAGAGGAGGGTGTGCGCAGAGGGAAAGGCGCCAGCGTGGTGGTCCTCGCCTCCATCCTTCAGGGCTGCTCTTGCTGTCAGGATGATGGTCCCGTCAGCCACCAGCGACAGGCGAGCATTAGTCACTTGCCGCGTGGTTAAGGGAAAAATGACTGGAATCCATTCTCCCCCAGAGTCTGTAAAACAGCAGGGGGATTCTCTGCCGGAATGCAATTCCACTGTGTGAGAGCAATCTCGTCCCAGGCAGCCCAGCCGTGGCAAACAAAGTCTGTCTGTGACAGACTCACTGTCCAGAGTAGCAGATTCCTATGCTGGGGCCTCGAAATGGGCGGGGCACTCAGGCCCTGCTTAGCTGCCTGTCTGTCTGCCTCTGCAGGGCCAGAAAGGGGACAGGGCCCATGGATTCTTATCCATGAAACAGTCCCGGATCTACCCCCAAGGGGCCTTTTTTTTTCTTTTCTTTTAAATCATTTTATTGGGGGCTCATCCAACTCTTATCACAATCCATACATACATGCATTGTGTCAAGCACATTTGTACATTTGTTGCCATCATCATTCTCAAAACGTTTTCTTTCTACTTGAGCTCATTTTCCACCTGCCTCCCTCTCCTTCCCTCCCTCAGGAACCCTTACACTGATATCTCCCTTCACCCACTTTTCTGTTGTCCGTCCCCAAGGGAGGAGGTTATATGTCAATCATTGTGGTCAGTTCCCCCTTTCTCACCCACCTTCTCTTTGCCCTCCTGGTATCGCTACTCTCATCGGTCCTGAGGGGTTTATCTGTCCTGGATTCCCTGTGTTTCCAGCTCTTATCTGTACCAGTGTATATCTTCTGGTCTAGCCGGATTTGTAAGGTAGAACTGAGATCATGATAGTGGGGGAGGGGGAAGTAGGACGCATTAAAGAACTACAGGAAAGTTGTATGTTTCATCGTTGCTACACTGCACCCTGACTGGCTCATCTCCTCCCTGTCACCCTTCTGTAAAGGAATGCCCAATTGTCTACAGATGAGCTTTGGGTCTCCACTCTGAATTCCCCTCATTCACAACCAAGAGGCCTTTTCTTTGTGGTTGTTAGCCCCCCCTCGAACAATGAACTCAGACCACTGTGCCCCTGAGGGTCTTCCTGGGAATATCTTCAGAACTAGATCACCAGGCCTTTCTTCCTAGTCTATCTGAGTCTGGAAGCTCGGCTGAGAACTGTAACTCAGCATCATGGCAACACGGCAACTGCCAGCCTCCACCCACAGGGGATGGCTGGGGACAGGCTGCCCCAGCTAGAAATGGGGCTGAGGTCTCCACATCTCATTCAAATTCATTACCATCAAGTCAATTCCAACTCCTAGTCCCCTACAGGGCACGGCAGGGCAGAACTTCCCCTAGAGGTTTCTAAGGTGGTCGCTCTACAGGAGTAGAAAGCTCCATCTTTCTTCTGAAGGGCAGCTGGGGATTCAAACTGCTGACCTGGCAGTTGGCAGTCCATCTCATCACCCACTATGGGCCACCAGGGCCCCTAGAATTTAGGAAATCTATCACCGAGCCAGCACTGCACCCACACAGGTATATCCAAAGCAGTCAAGAGGATTCTGAACGTCCCTCTCTGCTTAGCACAGTGCAAGATGGAGTGCAGATGACAGGAGCAGGCTGATGAGACTGCAGCCATTGGCCTGATGGTTGCCACACGGCATGACGCTCCCATTCAGGCAGGCAGCTGAGAGGTGAAAGGGGCCATCAACCTGCAGGCTGTTGTTGGCCCACGTGGCAGCAGCCGCTGGCATGCTCAGTTTGCTAAGAGCCCAGTTCTCTGTTTTTGGAAGTGGGCAGGCACGGAAAGGGAGGTGGGACTGAAAGTACCAGGTGCTTGAGGCTGAGCAGGTAATAACAGGGGACAGGTTTGCCCATCACTCTGCTTCCAGACATTTGCAACGGAAGCTTGTCTTTTGTGCAAAAACCACTGGCTAGAAACTCTTTGTCATTCATTCAAGAGTTCTCGAGTTCAGACTCTGGTGTGTTTACAGTTGGGTCTCTGCTGTTTATTTTCCTTTCCATTTGACAGTTTCTAATGTTTCTGAACGCCCTGGTTGGGGGGAGAGAGAGTCAGAAACATGTCTCTCTGCCCCACCCTGTTTCTAAGCCAAACCTCCAAGGAGGCATTTTGAATTCAGAAACACACAAAGCAAGCCTCCAGGAGGAAAGATCTGGAACAAAGGGGTCCGGAGGGTTGTTTAAATATTGGGAGCAGTTTGACTTACATGGCTGCCTTCCTGGTTTGTTGGGGTTTTTTTGGCCATACGATGGGGTGGGTCCAATAAAGCCCTTTTTATACAGAACCCAATTGGGCACACATACCTCAAATAATGAGGGTAAGGTCTGACACGAGACCCACTGAAGCAATACATATTGGGTGATCTGAATCACCAGTGGCTCCGGAGGTGTCACCGAGAGGTCCAACGATGCTCACATGCATAAGGGTATGAATAATGCAACGTCTTCCAATTACCGATAATCTTTCCAGAACCACTGAGTTCACCAGAATATTTAAGGAGCCAGGAAGCTCATGCTGTGAGCACTTGCAAAAAGGAGGAAGAGGAGGACAAAGAGTAAGAAGAAGAGAAAGAGGAAGAAGAAGAAGGCTCTATTTGGATGCCCTGCTGATTTGAAGACACTCCTTAGCCCTCTATCACTGATCTCAAAATGAATGACTAAGCCAACCAATTGTGACAGTTCTGGGGGAAAGTGTGCACAGAATGACAGCATGAAGCTGCCCTAAGTGGTCCACAGCAAGACTGGCGGGAGCATGGCTCAGAATTAGGTGTGAGGCCAAAGGGAGACGCCCTTGGCTGCATGATCGGCACATCCCTTGAAGTGCGTACCAATCAAATGTGTGTGCACACAGATCGCCAATGTGCAACCTGCCTAGGAAGGAAAGGCAACAAGAGCACAGGACGGTTCAGCTCATCTGGACCAAGCATCTCACTCCCTGCTCAGGGAGGGAACGCTTTATAAATGTAGATGCTGAAGGCTCTTTCTAATGACCCGAAGTTGGAACCAGTGTCTATGTCCAACCATCACAGCTCACTCGCAACATTTTTACAGCGAATTTTTAAGATAAGAAAATGTTTCCATTTGAATATGGAGTGACTGAACAGCAGCGGCACACAACGTGGTAAAAATAAATGCAAGCTCGATGCCACGCAGCCCTCGGGGTGGCATCCTAGAACAGAAAAAGACCCTTGGTGGGCACACTCGTGAGATCTGGAATTCCCTTAATAATAAGGTGCTGATGCGGGTGTCTTGCTGTAAGCAAAGACTAAGGGACTGAAGGGATGTCAGACCCCATGAGGGGTGTCTCCATCAAAGGTTATTCAAAAGGAGATGCTGAAAGAAGGGCACGGTGGGGAAGGGGTAAAAGGAAACAAGGGGTTAAAAAAAAGTGCAAAAGGAAACAGACAACAGGGTCAAGGGTGAGGGACCCCCGAGTCTAGTATCAGCGGGGACAGTGACTCTCCACACCCTCAGCCATGGGGGCCAGCACCATCATGTGACAAAACCACCCTGCCCTCCGCTCGGAAACGCTGAGCGCCCTACCTTGTGACAGTAGTGCACAGCAGAGACGATCTGTCGGAAGAAGTGCCGCGTCTCTCTCTCGCTCAGGCGTCGCCGCTCGCTGATGTAATCGTACAGCTCCCCTTTGCTGGCATACTCCATGATGATCACAATCTTATCTTTGTTCTCAAACACTGTGGGGGAACGGCAACAAACAGCCACGTGAGCAACACAACACGCTCCCGCATGACCACAGGGAGGATAACACGATGTCACCAACAGGCACACACCCCTCGGGCCATTCAGCATCACTCCATCGGAGGACACTGGCACAGGTGTTATTGTTATGGACACGCCTTCATGACACCAAGGGGCAGGTGGCTCTTAACTGAGGTTCCCCAACCTTACAACCTCATCCCACCCAAATAGCCCTCCTGCAGAATGAACACTTCCTCTCCATCCTTTTAAGTTTCAGTCTTTTTGTGTCTTTATGTCTAAGGCAAGTTTCTTGTGGGCAGCGTATCAATGGTTTATGTTTTTATTTGGGTTGGGGGGGGGTTTAATCCATTTGGTCACCCTTTGCCTTTTGCGTGGGGTGTTCACACCAGTTCCATCGAAGGTCAGTGCTGAAACCAAGTGTCTATTTCACTCCTTCTGCTGTTGGGGGCAAGGTTGGTTTTCTCTTTCATCTAATCGGTTTCTGGTATTCGGACTTTTCTTGCAAGGGCTCCTATTGCTTGCTTCATTTCTAAATGTTCTTTCTCAGGGATTCCTTGGTGGTTACAAACTTACTACATATGTTACAGGACTTCCCACTGCAACAATGTTTAACACATGAACAACAGTTACCATATAATAAATCTACTTCTCCCATCCCCATTTCTGTTGGTGCACTCCATCTGCATCAGTTTACAATCAATATTCTGTAAGTTCAATTCAGGCATGCTTCTTACAAACTTGATGTTGTATTGTTTGATTCACTGAACAGAAAATATAATAGGATATTAAATATCCTTATGTTTGACTGTGCGGTTACATTATTTAGAGATATTCTCTCTCTCTCTCTCCCTCCCTCCCTCCCTCCTCCATCCTTCCTCCCTTCCACGTATAATTAATTCACTGTCACCAAGTCAATTCCAACTTATACCTGCCCTAAGGGACAGGGTAGAACTGCCCTTGTGGGTCTCTGAGATTATAACTCTATATGGGATTAGACAGCCTAGTCTTTCACTTGAGGTGGGGGCTGGGGGGCAGCTGGTGGTTTCTGAACGGCTGGCCTTGCAGTTGGCAGCCCAATGCATAACCACTACACCACCAGGGCTCCTCCCATGTATAGATTCAAGTATGGATTGAATGCTATCATCTCTACATTTGGAGTAAAGTACATCTGGAGTACTTCCTTGAGTGATACTTGTCAAATTGGGCTGATGGGGCAAACTCTCAGAGTTTTTATTTGTGTAGGCCTGTCTTGATTTCCTCGTCTTTTGAATGACAACTTAACGGATCTTCTGATCTCTGGAGTTTCTGGGGAAGAGATCTGCACTAACCTATGTTGAATTTTCCTCTTCCTGTCTCCATACTGCTCTCCTTTTCGTTGATATTCAAGGAGTTCCTTAAGATGTGATGCAGACTTGATCACAATTTTTTGTGTCTTCTGATTGGAGGTTGGAGTAAATTCCTGGATTTGCATTCTGATTTTCTCTTGGAAAATTGCTTCCATGCTTTTAGTCCTATGGTGCTCAGGGATTCCATAATTCAAACATTAGATGCCTTAACTTAACCTCTAGCTTGTTTTGGGGGGGTGCTTGATTTTTTTTTCTACTTCTCCCTCCCTCTCCTCGAGACTCCGCACATCCCAGTCCTTTAGTCTGTCTCCTGTTGTTCTCCGTATTGTTGACGTAAGTCTGCTCTCTCAGAGCCAGCCACTAGGTTCTCCGGCTCGAGGAGTTATTTGTTCATTGGTTTTGTGTTCTCAATTGCCTTCTTGATGTCTCTCGTTCTGTTCCTCCATGGGTTTCCTGATCTCCGTGAATGTATTCTCTGTGTGCTTTGTTTTTTAAAAACACCCTTAGCACCGTCATCTGAAAAACATTAATTATTTACATGAGTCTGCCCTCCAATGGAGAAATTTCCTTTTTGTCATGATTTGCTTTTTTTGATCGATCCTTCTTCTCTTGTGATTTCTGTGTGTTTTACAGTTTTTTCTTTGTTTGTTTTGGCTGAATCTGGGGCATTTTGTGTCCTCTCTTCTCTCTCTGCTTTGAATTTTATATTCTGGTTTTTGTAGGAATATTTTCCTCATTGGGTGCCCTGGTGATGAAATGACTGCCTACTGAAAGACCAGGACTCACACCCCCAGCTGCTCCATGGAAGAAACATATGGCAGGCTGCCTTGACAATGACTCACAGCCCTGCGGACTCCCCCCACAGGACAGTTCCCCTCTGCCTCACAGTCACAGGAGTCTGGATCAACCCAGCAGCACTGGACCCCGTAGCTTCTCCAGAGAAGCACCAAAAGGCCCTTGTATCCTTTGACTTTTTTCGATGATGATTCAAGAGTCCAGAGGCTTAGCCGCCCAACTCTACAACAGCTCAACTGCCATGTGGACCTCGGAGATCTCGGTCTATGCTTGTTGCCGGTGGAGCAGTTCCTTGAAGAGTAAGTGGGAGTGGCCACTTACTTCATCGTCCTACTCTGCCCTCTCACTTCAAGTTTTGCATACTTTATATGTTTTAGCTCACTTAAACCGTATGAGGAACAATCCATCATTTTTTTTTTCAATCCATCATTTTTTTTTTCAATCCATCATTTTATGATACATAGCATAAGAGAAATGAAACTGAGGCATTAAAGGTTAGGTGACCTGTAGAGCCTGCCATCCAGAGGGGCAGGATTCACACTTAGGCCAGTGCGCTCCAGACACCAAGCCATGAGCCAAGAGATCACACTGCATCTGAGGAAATGGCTAAATCAGCTGCCCCTGGCTTCCAGTGTGGATGAACATCCAGGATGCCAGAGGACCACAGCAATCACTTCAAGCTGGTTCCCTCTTTCCAACCTCAGCCCCTTTTCATCAGCCTCCATACCCTCCTTGGCCTAATTTCCTAAAATATTTGCAACTTGTAAATGCTTCTCATGCTCCAACCGTGATGCTCTCTGACAGTGATGCTTAAACTCTGCTCTACCAAGTTCTTGGGGCTATGGGAAGACACACCGGTCGGGAGAAGGGCACCCACAAAGAATAGGCCCTGGGTCCTCGGCACCTCTCCAACTCAAACCGCTCCATTTGTCTGCTTTATGCTTTGGGCTTGTAGGGCGGATGTCCTTTCAGCAGAGACCAAAAAAATTATAGCTGTTTTGAAATCCATCGCCTCCAAGAGGGCAATAGTGCAATGGTTAAGCGCTCAGCTGGGCAGCCAAAGGGCGGCCAAGAAAACCCATGGAGAAGTTCTATAGGTCACAAAGGGTGGCTACGGGTCAGAAATCAACTCAATGGCACCAACGATAAGGGCTATGGGTCCATTTATCTTTGTAAGGTTTCTAAAAGACCCTCGACTACCTTACTCCACCTCATTAGCATCTCCCACTCCCCAAAGGCATCCCATGTAGCACAGGAGAGGACTGCTTGCTGTTTCTCTTGATCTTATACACACACACACACACACACACACACACTGCTGGTTCCCACTGCCATGAGCTCCCCACCTGCTCTTGCCTTTCCCTCCCCGTCTTCCCCTCCCAGGGAAATTCCTTCTCACTAGTCAAGAGTGTAGTCAAATGTGGCTAGTTCATTGCTTCCTTTCTACCTCCCACTACACAAATGCATACTGTCATCATCATGCTTTCCCATGGTGCAGTACTTGTTGGTTTACCCATCTATTTCCTCTGTCTGGACCATGAGCATATGGAGAGAGTGCTTACATCTTTAGTCTGGGAATCAGAGAGACGCCCATGGAAGAGTCCCGGATCTGCCTCACCCTTGCTGCGTGACTCTGGGGAAGTTGCGTGTCCTCTCTCTGCCTCAGTTTCACCCACTATAAGGCATGGATCCTAGGCCCCAGTATGTTGCAGCACCATTTGGGGGTTGTTGTTAACACACAGAGCAAGACCAGCATCTACAGGTACAGTCAATACAGATGGCTGTGAGTGTGGGTACCAAAATCACTGAGACTCACGTCCCACCCCCACGCCCCTCCCCACCCCCAAAAAAGACCTACACTCAGAGAGACAGACCCACTGAACAAGGAACTGCGCTGAACTGGGATCTGCCCCAGGCCTGCTCCCCTGTCCTCCCACACCTTGTCATTGGCTGCTAGAAGCTAGGACCCCTCCAGTTCCTTCTTGGCTCCTTCAAGTCCCGCCAACGGTCTCTGATACAATTAAGGGGAAAGGAGTTGGGCAGGGAGGAGAGGGAGGCGAGAACCGCAGATAAAATTGGCTGCTCCGGTGTCTGCTGGCCTCGGTGTACCTCGCTGCCCCAGCCCCTGCCCAGGATTTCAGTCTGGAAATAGTTTTCATGAACAATAAACTTTGGAAACTGGCAAAGCCGACTCCCAATGGATGGCTCAGGGGCCAAGCCTTAGAGGCCAGCAGTGTGCCCTGGAGCGCAGTGGGGTGTCTTGGGTTAAAAAGGAGGGACGGTGGAAAGAGGGAAAGGGCCCTGACAGATAAACAAAGGAGACTCAGACTGCAGAGAGCCTGGCGGCTCCTGAAAGGAGGCCGGAGCTACTGGTCTCTGCAGCGGGGCTCTGAAAGAGAAGCAGACAAGAGAATTGTTTCAGGGTCTGTGGATTCTTCCCTTTCCAACCGGCTGATTTGGTAGCGAGGGCACATGAACACAGCTCAGTTCAGCAAATGCTCTACACGCTGGCTGCCCTCAGAGCCCTGGGGATGCAACAGGCAGGTGCTCCCCTGCAATCTGGTGCTGGTGCTTCCAACCTTCATAAACCCGCTGGTTCTTCCTCTCACATCCTGAGCCCATCTCCCAGTCTCACTGAGCCCACCATCCTGGCCCGGAGCCCCTGCCCTCTCAGGCCCTCCTCATGGGTCTCTAACTCCCTGCCAGCTACCTATTCCAAATGAGGTTCCACGAAACCAGGGATTCTGGAGGGAAAAGGGAGGTGAATGACTTAGAAAGGGAGGTAAATGACTCTTGGAGAGTCTGGTTTCTTTAACATCCAAGTTTCACAGGTT